TGTGTGTGTGTGTGTGTGTGTGTGTGTGTGTGTGTGTGTGTGTGTGCGTGTGTGAGTGAGGGAGAGTGAACAAAGTGCACCGTTGTAATTTGCAAACGAAGTACTGTTTCCGGTGAAAAAATAATAATTAAAAAATTGTACCAAAAAAAAAAATAGCCCTCGTCTAAACAGTTCGAACCGTTTAGCTCTTTTTCCCATCCGAATAGAACGCAAAGCGTAGTATAGACATTATGAATTGATGGACGTACCGGCGAACACAACGAACCCTGATTATGAATGCATCTAACCGGAGAGACGCCAGCATTCCCAATGGCTGCTTACAGTGTACATAGATCAAATTTACGCTATGAGTCCATAATGCCTATACTACGCTATGTATGCATTCATAATGTCTATACTGCGCTATGCATCCAACTGTAAATTTTCATACATAACGAGGGGCCGTTGTGTTCGGAAGAAGACGCTAGCATTCACAATTTTAATGGCCAGGCATTTGGGGAACACATGGTGCCCCTTAATAGGGGGCTCTTCTCTTTGCCATTTATTTCCGGGCCCCCATACCCCTCAACCCCTTAACCCCTCAACCCCGCCCCGCCTCCTGGTTTGACCTGTTAGAACACCCCAACTGTTCGTTGATTTCCAAACGGTGAGACCGTTAACAACCGTCCCCCGGCTGTCATTGCCAAATGGTCACCGTTAACGACCGTTTCTCCGGTAGATTTTCTAAACGGGAGTTCGAACACGGTTCTCTTTTTGCCTTTTTAAAAGTTTTTTTTTCTGGTACGAAACATCATTCCAGCTTTCCAGCTTTCCAGCTTTGCAGCTTTCCAGTTGTGTTAAGAATGCCCTATTGGTTGGTAGGAGCATCTCAGAAAAGCTGGATAGCTGAATAGCTGAATAGCTGAATAGCTGAATAGCTGGAAAGCTAGAAAGCTGGAAAGATGGAAAGCTGGAAAGATGTTTCGTACCAGAAAAAAGGAAGTCTGGAAAGCTGGAAAGTGGGAATGAAGTGCCGTCCACTTTCATGTGTGCTTCCCGTTTGTGGGGATCCACAGGCAGGGGGCCGGTTGCTCAAACTACTTTTTTTTTTTTTTTTTTTTTTTTTTTGGTTGGTTGGTTGGGTTGGGTTGGGGGTTGGAGGGGGGAGCAGCACTTGCTGGGAATCGCTCAAACAGGAAATCTGAATTTGTCAAACGAGGAATTTGCCCGTACCGGCAGGTGTACGGAGCAATGCTACACACACACACACACACACACACACACACACACACACACACAGAGAGAGAGAGAGAGAGGTTGTTTCTTCTTTTTCTCTTTCTCTTGCTTTTTTCTTTCACGCTTTTTCGTTTTTTCGTTTTTTCGTTTTCGTCTTTGTAAGTAGAGGATCGACAGGTGAAATTGATGCGGATGCGTGGATGCGTGGATGGATGCAAGGAAGGGATCGACGGATGGAAGAGAGAGAGAGAGAGAGAGAGAGAGAGAGAGAGAGAGAGAGAGAGAGAGAGAGAGAGAGAGAGATGAGAAGATGGATGTCATTGCGATGAACGGATGGATGGAGTATCTAACATTGGAAATACGAATGGATAAAAGTGGATAAGATAATATCGAATAAAGATTGGATGCAATAGAATAAAGATTGGATAAGATAGATAGAATAAAGATTGGATAAGATAGAAGAAAGATTGGATAAGATAGGATAAGATAAAATAAGATATGGATGGATGGATAAGACTGGATAAGATTGGATAGGATTGCATATTATGGATGGATAAGATTGGATAAGATTGGATAAAATTGGATAATTATGGATGGATAAGATTGGATAGGATTGGATATTATGGATGGATAAGATTGGATAAGATTGGATATTATGAAAATGGATAAGATTGGATAGGATTGGATATTATAAGAAAAAGGATATTATGGATGGGTACATAAATAGATAAGATAGGATATTTAGTACTATGGATAGATAGAGAGGATGATGAACGGATAGAGAATGAGACATAATGTTATGATGGATGGATAGCGAAGGGAGTGGATAAGTTTGGTATATGGTACTGTCGACCTTGGTGTGACAAATGATGATCACAATCAATCAATCAATCGTTGCGTGCAGGAGCAGAAGGTAATTGACGCGATCGTGGATGCGGGCTTCGACGGGAAGATACTCAATCGGGAGCGAGGGGGGGGGAGAGAGGGAGAGGGAGAGGGTGAGGAGGAGGAGGAGGAGGAGGAGGAACGGGATCGGGGCAGCGACGGTGGTTGCCACGTGGCGCGTTTCCGCGTCGATGGGATGACGTGTACAAGTTGTTCGACGTCTCTGGAGAACGTGCTGAAGCGAACGAAAGGCATTCAGACAGCCATGGTCAATTTGATGGCAGGAGAGGCAGAGGTGGGCTTTGATCCGACGATCTTAGATCAACGGCTAGTTCTTGAGGTCATCACGGACGCGGGCTTCGAGTCTGAGTTGATTGAGATAAAGACAAAAAAGAGGAGCGATGCAGTCGGGGGCCGCGAAGCAGTGGGGGAGACCACCACGTCCAGGTGGGCAAACAACAAGAAGAAAGGCGATGCCCAACGAGAGGAAGGGGAGCAGCAGGAAGTGGTCGTCCTCCGCATCCACGTGGCTGCTGCTGGTGGCGACACGTGGCAGCAGATGAAAACCCGGATCGAAGAGGTGTTGAAAAGGCGCCCAGGAGTGCGCGAGCTGACGTGGCAATCGACGGAGGACGCAGGGGGCTTGATCTTGAGAGTAAGGTACGATCCGACGATCCTGATTGGTCCACGTCAGATCATCGACGCGATTACGGATAAGATGACGATCAGGGATGTGGATAAGAGGGCGATCACGGAGAAGAAGGAAGGAGGCGGGAGTGGAGAATGGGAGAGGGAGGAGGGAAGGAATGATGACGTCAGCTCTAATGACACGACAATGACGAGGACGAGCAGGAGGAGGAGGAAGCCGAAGACTAAGACGAAGACGAAGAGCAGCAACAAGGAGGGGAAGGATATGGCCGCCGACGATGAAGCATTTACTATCAATGTCGAGGTGATAGATGAGCAGGCGATGACACGTGGCGCAATCGAGGAGCGCCGTCGTCGACGGCTGGTTACGCGGGAGCTTCGGCCTCTTCTGCTTAGCTTGATCTTCACGGTTCCTGTCTTCCTCCTGGCCATGATCTTCCCTCGCTTCTCTTCTACTGATCGTGTCATGATGATTGACATTCATAATGGCTTCACGATCGGTCACCTGCTGAGGTGGACTCTGGCGACTCCAGTGCAGGTCGTCATTGGAAGGAGGTTCCACGTGGGTGCTTGGCGCGCTCTGCGCCGTCGATCTGCCAACATGGACGTCCTGATCTCGCTGGGAACCAACGCCGCTTACTTCTACTCCGCGTGGATTTCCATCCGCTCCCTCTTCGACGCTAATTACACTGAGATGGATTTTTTCGAGACCAGCGCCATGCTCATCACCTTCATGTTGCTGGGAAAGTTCTTGGAAGGTTTGGCCAAAGGGAATATGACGGCCGCCATATCCAAGCTTCTCAAGCTGGCACCAGAGACTGCAACTCTGCTAGAAGAAGAAGAAGAAGAAGAAGAAGAAGAAGAAGAAGAAGAAGAAGGAGGAGGAGGAGGAGGAGGAGAAGAGAAGGGTGGCAAATCGACAGGCCAGGAAGGAGGAGGAGGAGGAGAAACGAAGGAGAAAAGCGACGAAGAGGTTTCGCAAGCTAACTCTTGGGCGATGGTTGATGGAAGCAAGGAAGGAGGAGGAGGAGGAGGAGAAGGAGGAGAGAGAAAGGAGAGAGAGAGAGAGGGGTCTGTGGGTTGTGAAGGCTGGGGAGATAGAGGAGAGAGTGCGGGAAGAGAGAAAGGGAGTAGTAATACACGCCGCGTCGGAGAGGGAGAGGCAGGAGAAGAGAGAATGCAGAGAGAGGGGGGGCGGGGTAAACGGACAGGCCGGGAAGGGGGAGCAGAGAGAGAGGGAGAGAGCAGTCCGAGGAGAAAACAGCAGAAAGAGAGGGTCATACCAGTCTCTCTCGTTCAGCGAGGGGATATCTTGAAGGTGCGACCTGGGAGTAAGATCCCGGTCGACGGACGTGTCGTCGGGGGGAAGAGCCACGTGGACGAGAGCATGGTCACGGGTGAGTCGAGACCGGTGGCGCGCAGTGTCGGCGATGAGGTGGTCGGTGGTACGATGAACCTGGACGGAGCGATTGTAATGCGCGCCGAGCGCGTGGGTCCCGACACCATCCTGGCACAGATCGTTCGCCTGGTCGAAGACGCGCAGATGAAGAAAGCCCCGATCCAGAGGCTGGCAGACGGGATCTCCAGCGTGTTCGTCCCGACCATCGTGGTGCTCGCTCTCCTCACCTGGGCCGCGTGGCTGTACGCGGGAGCTAGCCATCGGTATCCCGACAGTTGGCTGCCGACTGGCACAGATCCCTACATCCTGGCCGCGGAGTTCGGCATCACCGTGCTCATCATAGCCTGCCCCTGCGCCCTGGGCCTTGCGACCCCGACGGCTGTTCTAGTCGGGACCGCGGTCGGAGCCAAGAACGGGATCCTGATCAAGGGGGGAGAGGCTCTCGAAAAAGCTCATAAGGTAATCATCCTGAACAAGAAAAGCAAAAAAAAGCAAAAGAAAAGGGAAGGTACACGTCATTGAGCCACGGCGATGCAGTGAAGCAATGAAATGAATGAATGTATACAGGAATGAGCGATAGGTACATTCCGACGACCGATGATAACATACAACGAACAGGGGAGGGATACCTCTCACCGATCACAGGGGTGAAGAAACGATGCCATGTCCAGCTCTCCAAAAAAAAAAAAGAAGCAACCCAATCACTGTAGGGGAGCAGTCGCGAGGATGTACCTCTCTGGTCACAGCAGGGGAATTGGTTTTCTAAAACAGAACAAAATTAACAAGATATAAAAGATATTTAACAACGAAAAAAAAGGGGAATTCCACTCTTTTTTTTTTTTAAACCTCTTTTTTTCTCAAAGAAGGGAAGTGTGGAGAGCGCCGGGCCTGCTGCATGGCATCTTAAAAAAAAAAAAAAAAAGCATAACATGGCATTTTCCTGGGAAAAAAAAAAAGGGCTCAATGGTATAGTACGGCATAGGATGGCATAGCTGTAAGATAGGTGTGGGTTCGACATTACTTTCGTTCTCTCTCTCTCTCTCTCTCTCATCCGTTCGCAATCACTCTTGTGGGTTATGATGTGGTGCCCAAAAAAAAAAAGAAAAAAAAGTGGTGGACGAGGGGCATCTTTTGGCCTTCTTTTTCCGCTCAAGTCGACGAACGAGAGGTTTGCCACGTGGCGCCTCCATGGGTGTATTTACCAAGTGTGTTGCTGGGAGCTTCGCTCGTAGCTTGCTGCTGACAGATGGGGGAACATGCGGAAGAGTAATGATTATCTGAGGTTGCATGTGCGAGAAGCAGTCTATGGCAATGATTATCTGTTGTCACTTCTTTTTTTTTTCCCCTTATTCTTTCCGATTGGGATACTGATCGGAGTTTTGCCACGTGGAACCCTGCTTACCGATTGCAAAAGGGCAATGACCTTCAAGTTGGGCGATGAAGGCCGATCGCGCCGTCGTGGGTTCTGCACTGACCCAGGTTCTGTGGTTGACCTAAGGATGGCTCAATCTAAGGGCATACTCAGACTAGGCCCTAGAAGTCGCAAAATCGCAAAATGAGTGGCCAGGCCAGATTGAGGACTTGTAAACGGAGGACTCGATCTGGCCGGTTAGTATGGGATTTTGTGATTTTGAGGGCCTAGTGTGAGTATTCTAAAGGGATCAACCTTCCTGTGCCGTCCTGCGCCGGCCTGCGCCTTGCTGCGACGTCCTGCGGCGTCCTGCGTCCGATGGCACAGTACTGGGTCGAAGGATGGCGCAGGGCGCAGGAATGCGCAAATGGTGGAGGACGGTGGGCTGAAGGATCGCGCCTTCATGCACCGCGCCGTTTGACACCGACCGCCCCTGCTGCGAAGTCCTGCGCCTTTTGGCACCGACCACACGCCTTCCCCCGCATAGACCCTACGGTCATTACAGCTGTATTTTGGGGAACTTTGTCTAGATGCAGCCATAATGACGGTACATTCTATTTGGGGGAAGATGGGCAAGCCGTCCGATCGCACCGTCCTGCAACGGCTACTGTAGGCTGACCCCGTCATTCCGCACCGGAGTATGGGGCAGGACAGCGCCCACACTGGCAATGTTGCGGGATGGTTGATTGAAGGATTGTGCGGCCGTTCTGCTGCGCTGCCAGGCGGATCACATCGTTCTGCGCCGACCAGCTGGCCGCCGATCGCGCCATCCTGCACCGAAGGAAGGATGGCGCAGGGCGGCGTCATGGGGTTCAGGGCGTATGGCCATGGGATCGTGCGTTCCTGCGCCATCCTGCACTACCCTGCGCGCTCCTGCTCCCCCTTGCATGTGAATGCGAAAGTAGTAGATCAGCGAAGTGAGACCAGGATCCGCCGCTTCACCTCCAGTGATGCAATATGCCTATATCGTCAATGAATCACGACAAGCACACCGTACCTATATCGACAGTGGATTACGACAAGCTCGTCTATCCTTGCTAACACATCTATCCTCTGCGCCTGCGAGCCCAACTCTCATTCCACCCTTCAATGATCTACTCAGCTCTTCTCTCAATCTATCTATGTATATTATTCCGCATCTATCTCATTTATCTCATCCTCTCGCTACTCTATGTATAGTAGGGGGAACACCACCCAACCAAACCTCGAACTGTCCCGGGCCCACGGGGTAGGTTGGCACCACAGCTGTAGTGCGAGAGCAAGGCTTGTATTAGCTCCTCATCGCGAGTATGTAGGGTGGTCAGGCATTGCCGACGGGGGAAACCGACCGGCGATGCCAGTGCCGAGCATCTTAGGCCAGTCACTTGCACCTCCCCCTCCCCCCCTCCAACCCCACATTAGCAATGTCGAATGGCCAATACCATTGCTGCATAGCAACCAACAATATTGACCAAGGTCCAGTCAATGCTGGCCTGGAGGGCCAACGTGTTATCTCCAGCTGGTAGAACACCAAGCATGCCTCACCACACCACTCTCTCGAAATGTGAAAAAGACAGAAACGCGGGGGCCATGTTCTAGCGGAAAGTTCATTCTCATTTTGCACATTTTGAGAGTGGTGTCGTGATGCCCTTTAGACGATTAGTCAATCAACACCCCAGTCAATGCGCAACAATCGGGCGTGCACTCACATTCACACCTGCTGGAAACCGGGTCTAGTGTCCTTGGGGACATCCGTTAGAATTGGATCGGTACAGGCCCCTGCGCAAGGATGACACGCGTAAATCAATAAATAGTCCAAAAGAAAGAAAAGAAAGGGGTCCAGTTTCCTAGTTGTCAGACAGCCATCCCTCTGACACACCCCAAAACAGATGGTGACAGGACTTACCGTCTTCACCCGAATAGAACGCCCGGTCATTATAGCTGTATTTGCCCGGTCATTATAGCTGTATTTGGCACAACTTTCCGTCCAGATGCAGCGATAATGACCGGGCGTTCTATTCGGGTGAAGACGGTAGCACTGTCCATCAGAACTTCCCAGCCTAAGTCGCGTAATGGCCCCAGAAGCTCAGCTTGAGGGTGACATGACCTAGCACCCGAATGCGGTTTCCGTAACCTTTTTTGTTTTTTTCTTAATAACAAAGGTTATCCTGGGCCTACTACCTTCTTCCCCCGAATACAACGTACGGTCATTATAGCTGTATTTGAGGCATCTTTCAGTGTAGACTCTAGATACAGCTACAATGACCGTACGTTGTATTGGGGGGAAGAAGGTAGAGAGGGTGATAAAAGCAGCCACCTCTAGTAGTCCTGAGGCCAACTGCCCTCCATCTATTGGGCGGGGAGCTTCACCTGCTGGAAACCGGGTCCTGCGGGGAACATCAAGCTTATAATAAGAACATAAGTATTAAAAGGGAATCCAGCGTAGCCTCTTCAGCTCCCCATAGGAGCCCGCCAGATTTATCCTTCCACACCAGGCCCCCTGTTCATCCAAAAAACTTGGCTGAGAAGAATTTAACCTTCCCCCCCCCAATCCAAACCATTGTGTTTCCACGGAAGCTACCGTCGTCACCCAAATAGAACGCCCGGTCATTATAGCCGTATCTGGTGCAATTTTCAGTCTACATACAGCGATAATGACCGGGCGTTCTATTCGGGTGAAGACGGCTCAGAGGGGGGGAAAGGGTGTGAGAAAAAAACAGGAGCTCTAAGACTCTCTCCGGGCTGGAGCAAGGACCATTCGCAGAAGACCAGTTGGAAATCCTTTTTGAAGGGTTCCTCTGTCCCTTCCACCCCTGGCCAAAGCACCTCTCCCAAGCATCTCTCAGTAGGCCCCCCAGCCAGCGCATACAAAATTTCTGATTTGTTTGTTGCAAATCCCTTTCTTGTGCCAATCTTTTAGATTGTCTTTGGTATTCTTCCATTTTGCCTTCAGACAGGATTTCTGTTTGAAGTTTGAAGTCTGAACAAATTGGACTATAATGATAGTATAATCACTATATAGTCCTTCAGTGGTGACAACTTGACAAGACACAAACTTTTTTTTTTTTTTTTTTTTGTTGGTGCAGGTGAGGAATGTGGTCTTCGACAAGACGGGAACATTAACGCAGGGGAAGCCAGCAGTCATTACAACAAGGATATTTAACTGGTCGTGGGATGCGCCGGACTTCTTGGCAGTGGTGGCAGCTGCGGAGGTGAGCTATCAGAGGGGGGGGGGGGGGGGGGGGGGGTTGGAGAAGATGAAAAAAAGCCAAATTTGACATCATATTTGTAGTATTTTGTACACATTTTATGTTGGGTATTTTTTATCTTAGGCTGAGATAGAACTTGGTGGCGACATATTATATATGGATTATAAATTTATTATATTATATTCCTTTATGTGAGGCCCGAAGCCTCGGCAAGCCCTATCGGGCCCTGTTTCCAGCATGCATGGCCGCCCTAATCGAAGGTGGGCCTGCCAAGTGACGAGAGGCCTATTTTTGTGTTGGTCGCAACTGGGGGAAATTTCAGGCAGTTGCGCAGCGTCAGTTCGTTGAGTGAGCCCAGGCCCTGCCTGTCTTTTTCCAAATGTATCCGAGGCAGGCCGTGGGCCAGACACGGGGCATGAACTGAACACAGGCCGCTTGGCAGTTGGACATGGGTAACCACCCCAGGCCCTGTGGAAGATTCCCTGGGACAGGGGCTCAGCCACTTGGGGCCTACCGGAAGCTTCCGTGGAGAGGCCCAGGCCAGCCAGGCAGCCCACGACTGGCAGCCACTTTCCATAAAGGAAAGGGCCTGGCCGCTGGCCAGACATTCGGGCACTCGCTGCTTATGCGCAAGTGCTGCTGAAGCGAGTGCCTACGCGCTCACGGGCGAGCAGGGAAGAAGCAGGCAGCCATAGCCGAGCTGGCCTGCGTGTTGCTGGATGGGGCGCATGGTGGTCATCGGGTGCATGTGACATCTGTGTGGAGGGTCGATGGTGTGAGTGAAGCGAGGGACATACCTGGTGCTTGAGGTGGAACGGCATTGGCCGAGATCTGCTCGTACTGCGGGAAGCTGTTGACGTCACCAGCGGCATTGTAGATAGGCTAGATAGGATCTGCCATTTGTAGTCTGGGCGCTGAGCGCCAGATAGGGAATCGACATTGGTTCCTTGATGACGATGACGAGACTATTCCAACATTGTCATTTGTGAGCTTTGCTGTGCGCTCTTATTTGGTGTATAACTCGAGTTGCGATTCTGCTTTTGGTTTGAGGTCAAGACTATGGGCCTCGCTGCACTACTCTTGAAATGCACAAAAGACAAAAATCGCGGCGGTGTATCTTTCCATATTCTAGTGGAAGATTCACTCTCGTTTTGCACATTTCGAGAGTAGTGCAGCGAGGCCCTATCTGGTTTTACGTGTATGATGCGGCTTGGTTTCTGAATTTCGCTATCGCTCATTTTCCTTGCATTTATATGAAATTATTTAAACGACCAGTAGATTTCCCAGCTGTTGTTCTACGTACGATGTGGCCATGCTCGCGCTTCATCTGGCCGGATCTATCGGCCTGCCGGTTGGCAACGAAAACATGCAGGCAAAACGAGTCACGTGTACGGCCGCTTTGGCTGGATGTAATGTTTGTGAACAGGCAGCCGGTACATAACATCCCGCCAGAGGCGGGCGGGAAAAGCACCGCCCACCGTAGAAAATGGACGGCAAAACTACTGGCTCCTTTTTCTTTTCTGTTTTCCTTCTTTTGGGTCTTTTACCCCTCAGGAGACCCCGTCCACCCTCCCTGGTGCACCCCCACTCCCTTAGTCCTACCTCTTTTTTTTTTTTTTTTTTTTTTCTGCCCGTTTGGGAGCTAGGGGTGCTGGTATGAGCAGACGCCTCTATCTGCCCCGGGGAGGCTCCATCTATTAATGGACAGGTGATAACAGTTCCAAGTCCAACGCCGTGATGTTAGAGAGGAGTGACTGTCAGTTTAGGGATAAAAGGGGCTGTGAAAGCATCTGCAGCAGGAGCTATGACTTTTTTTTTTTTTTTTTTTTTTTTTAACCAGGCTCCAGCCTATTCATGGGGAGCAACATGTGCTGAGAACCGGGCTCAGCGTCCCACATGACAGTCCTACCTCAGTGTCTACCGCTCAGGACAATCGCCCTTCTACCATCGTCTCTGGGTCACCTGACTGGACAGCGGTTGCAGGCAACGGCACCAAGCAGGAACCCCACGCAGCCCTGGTTGAAGCATATTTTAACGAGTCCTGTGATATGGGTACTTCAAGCGCTAGGCGTAAGTGTTCTCTCTACAGGCCCAGTGGGTCGACCCTAAAAGCCCCCCAAAGTTCAGTACCCGAGTCCCTCAATATATCTAAGCATTCTCCCCGAGGTCCCACAGGCAGTGTCTAATAACCAGAGGCCAAGGTCTAACAGACTCTAACCCATGACAGCCCCTGAGCTACCCGCGTAGTCCTACCCCCTAGCGCAGCTGTTGTTCACATTGTCTTGCTATCAGGAGATGCAATGACGAACCGGAGGTTTTGATTGCCAAGCGTAGGAGCGGGTCGATGAATCCGGTGGATCGGGTGTTGACTGATGACCTGCACAATCTTCAGACCACACAGATCACATTCAGGCCGAAATCTTCCAAACCATGGGTCTGTACGGGGTCTTCAACTGAGCTGATGTATCCGGAGGACTGTGGGTGGTGGATGGCTGGTGTCATTCTCAGGCCATACCATTCATATCACAACAAACCGAATCTTGGGCCTGCAGAGGTTGTCACAATGAAGATCGGGAGGTTTTGATTGCTGATGCTTCTGGAGGATAGGCTGTAGAGTGATGGCCAGCATGACCCTCAGTCCACACAGACCACACAAAGATCACAACTTTTCAAACCTTGGGACTGTACAGAGTCTACAGCTGGCCTGAGGTATCCAAAGGATTGTGTGTGGAGCAAAGACTGGTACGATCTTCAGACTAACGGCTCACGTACTGATTACAATCCCTCAAATTATGGGCCTGCAGAGAGTCTAGGGTTTAGGGTTTAAATAATGGATCAATAAAGATTTAAACTTCCTATACAGGAGATAACAGTCTGACGACGACAAATAGGGAGCTGCAGAATTGGGCAGATCAACAACATAATAAATGCTCCATAATGAGACGGGTAACACTAGCAGCTCTGAGGGAAAATGGAGTCTTAGGTTGTATAGTAAAAGTTGGTCATGGCCCAGGAAAAGTGACAGCAAACTTTGTATTCTAAGATGTATAAAGGGATGCTGGACCCCGTTTCCAGCAGGTGCCGCTCCCCACCAATAGATGGAGCAGCCCGATAGATAAGCCCTCAATCCTGACGGTTCTCTCACCACCACCGGAATAGTGGGCTTACACAGGGGCTATGTTTAAAAAAA